AGCTGCAGCGGCATCTCGACTTGCAACGGACCAAAACAGCACTGACCAAGCCGTGCATCGAGGCGGAGAACGGACTCGAGTACGCTCACCGCCAGCATGAGAGGCTGGAGCATAAGGCGTTCGACCCAGAGACCGTGAGCCCCGCAGACTACACTGAGGGGCTGCCGACCTTCCCTGAGACATTCGCGGAACGCTCGGAGATGCAACGCATCCAGCGTTCCAGAATCCACCAGCTCGCGCAATTCCTTTTCAATTTCCACACCTGGGCCTCTTGAAGCCGCCACTTCAAGAGACAGCTGCGGAATCACCCCCAAGAGAACAGGCGCGCCTTGAACGACAAGAGAGGCCACTTCAGCACGATGGCGGACCTGGACGAAGCAGTGGACACACCGGGGGGGGGCGAGAACCCACCGAGAAGAACCTAGGCCGCGCGCGGGCTCGACCTATAACCGAAGAGGCTATCCAAGCAAGAAGAGACAGGCACCGGAGGCGTCGGCAGAACAGACAGGCCAAGCGCTAGACCGAGCAGTCCGAGGAGATTGAGGAGGTCGAGGACGAGGATGAAGACTCGAACGAGGGCGACGACGAACAGGAGGAGGTCATTGCGGAGGACGCGGGGCCATGTGGTTGGCACCCTGGCGCATCATCAGGGCGCCGCGTCTACGGCGACAACGTCGCACGGCAGCGCGAGACGCCCTACGAGGCCTGCGTCGAGAAGAGAGCCATCGCCGACGGTCTGGCCAGATCATAAGAGGGAGAACAAGAAGATCTGGAGCCGACTCCAGAGGCATCAGAGGGCGAAGCTCCAGCGGCGACAGGAACTAAGAGACCCGCGACAGGAGCGCAGCGTCCTCGCGTTAACGCCCACCTCGCTGACCACACGGTTCAGGAGACCGCTAAGGAGAGCCGAGGAAGACCCCGAGGGGAACGAGCCATTCCTCCCGAAACCGAAGTACGTCGGGACCGTCGGCGTCTACGTCTCGTTCCCCGACGGCAACAGCAACTTCAACGTCTTGGTCCATCCTCGGAGCCCCAGGGTGAGCTATTCGAATGCGGTCGCCACTCCAGGAAGAAGCTGATCGCGCCGATCTGAGCGTTGCTCACCAGCGAGACCTGGACTTCGATTGCGCTGCCAGGCGCGCGGCAAGTCAGGAACGGAGCGACGTAGCTGGACCGTGCATCCCCGTGGACGACACGGCGGAGAGCGACAAGATCAAGATCCCACCTCACAGGAACATGGGCACGTCTACTTGGTACCACCCGAGGCGCGGGGGCCGCAGCATAGCTCTCGCAAGGAAGCGGTCGACCTGGGCGTTCAGAATCTGGGTTCCCCTGCAGGAGATCACTACCACGCCTGGGCCACCGTGGAGGACCGCATCGCTCTACCAGATTTGCTACCGGCACGAAACAAACATTGGACTACATTGAAGGTGGAGAAGGAGGGGGCCCCGCAGATCAGGCAAGGCCTGATGAAACAGGCGGAGGTGACGAAGGACGAACCATCTGAACTCGAGAGGAACGGGCGCTGGCCCACCGACGCTGTGATCTACTACTTGGCATTAAAGAGCCGCGCTCAGCCGCCCGCTCAGAACTCGAGTTTCAGCGAGACCCTCAACGACCCCACGTCGGAGATGATGGCCGTACACCATCAGTACCCGAGACAGCCTACTCGCCGCGTCTAGCTGGAGTTGCTGACGCAAATGCCACTCGGCATCGCGCAGAGCCCGGCTGGGTCGCGCAACGCGTTCGAGTACGAAATCGCGCAGGACTATTGCAGAGCGGAGACGAGACTGGTGACTACGACAACCTCCATGCATAATCCCGGGTGCGCACGGACACCGAACTCAATGACCCCTCTGATCCTCACCCGGCGTCAGAGTTCGTCGCGACGCAATTCCGCGACCTGCCTCGCCAGGCACCTGCAGCGCTGGCCATTGCCCCCGACGTGAACTACAACGACCTTCCGAGGATCTGTAGAAACCCAAGGCATCGCCCACGGGAAAATCAGCAGATGATGGTCGACTGTCGGGGGGAGCTCGCGAAAGAAGGCGAGATGGCCATCGAGGACATCCTGGGCCAGATCAGGATCTTCAACGAAGCAGGCGGAGAAGAGAAACGGCACACAGGCTGGAGGACCTCAGCGAGTTAAACGGCGCAGTGGGCGCCCTCGAAGGTTTCGTCGAGAATATTCAACCAATGGGTGGACCTGTCGCTGAGGCCACGATGGCTGCAGCGACGATCGATAACTACACCGCTGCTCCAGGACTGGACGGACCTCCAGCAGAGCAGGGCGAGATACTGCTTCGACTTGGAAAAAAGTACATCAGTGCCCACTGGAGGAAGGCCGACAAGCTCTCCAGGAAAAAACAGGAAGGTCTTAAACAACACGATGAGCGAAAACTGGAGACGAGCCACAAGATCGAGGTGGCGAGAGACCACCTACTCGACACCCCCCTTCACCACAACTATGTTGGTCGCATCGGCCCTGGAAGCTCAATCTGGGATCGAGACCCCGTCTCACCCGTAGACACATCTCGGGATTTATCGACAGCCCTCATCTCCAGGGGCCAGCGGCGCGTCCAACTGGACAGCGGTGGACGGCGGATTTGGCACCGATATGTGTTCGGGAGATGCAGCGCGACGAGGAGCTCAACAAGAAGGAGGCCCAGATCGAGACTGCCGATCACGGCGCCAACTTGGCAGCAGTCGCATCGATCCGGGGTAAGAAGGGGCCGCTGGAGCTGAAGCCAGGACCTTCGAGCTGCGAGAACGCCTGCGGTATTTTCTGTTAGAGGACGTGTCGCCACACCTCTTGCACTCACTACGTGGTGCATGCGTCGTCGGACTCTTGCACCTTCGAGCTGCAGGTGGACTGCCACCGTCGCGCAGGCCATCCCAAGCAGCATGTTCACAAGCAGCGGTGCCAGGCCGAAGGCAGCGTCTACGTCATGGCGCTCTGGATCCACACTACTACGATGAGGGAGATCTGGGACCAGATGCAGGCGAAGGAGCAAGTCTTGGGATGGCGCAAGGTCTGGGATCGCACGGTCGGGATGCACCTCGCGGCGAAGGCCATCCCGACAGCGTTTCCGAGTGCACACGCGTATTCAGATGAAGTGATCGAGGACTCCGACTACCCGATGTTGGTTTCCGAGGCCGAGAGGCGGGTTTCTCAGTGGACCAAGGAGCTCAGTGCGGCAGCTCGGTTCTTGGAGCGCACTGGCAAAATATACGACCACCGTGGAACCGAGCCACAGAGTGTCATGGACCAGGTGGGGCAGGCTACGGACGCAACGAATTCGGATGAACTCGTTGTAATCATGGACCTCGAATGAGACAATCCGTTCAAGGATCTCTCTTAGAGGTGCTCTCGAGTCCTACGTGTTCATGAAGCTGTACCAGCTGCACGTCAGTGAGGCTCTGGTAGTACGTGGATTGGCTACGGTATCGACTGAGGGTAGACTTTCATCTTCTGAGGCGAGGCGGCGTTTCGGCTGCAAGAAAGGTAGGAGCTATGTTTGCAGGGCCCCCGTCAGCCTCTCCACCTCCTGCGCCTCCCTCTGCACTCCCTTGTGCGCCGCCATTTCGGATCACAAGGCCCTTGAGCTATCATGGCGCGCTGGTGACGGACGCGCCCACGCCTCCGTAAAAGGAAAGAGGACGTGCTCTCTTCTAGCACGGGTCCCCCTATTTGTACCCCGTGTCTCTCTGTATCCATACAGCCACACCCGTGCAGTCCACATCCTCCTCCTCTTGGTTCCTGATTCCTGGTGGCTGGAAAGAACGTCGTCGTCTCCTCCTCATCATCCTCCTGGCTCCTCGTTTCTGATACCTGGTGGCTGGAGAGAACGTCGTCGTCTCCTCTTCCTCCTCCTTCTTTATCCTCATCCTCCTCCTCCTCTTCCTCCTCCTTCTGCTCCTGCTCCTGCCCCTCCTCCTCCTGCTCTTCCTCCTCCTCATCATCCCCATCGTTCCTGCTCCTCGGCCTGACGATTTTCCTGGTTACTTCCGTGACAACACCACTCGGCAGTAAATGTTAAGGCCATTCGATGTCTGGCGGCCGACTCCATTGGGCGAGTTGTTGTGGGAATGCGTTTGGGTTGCAACCAAAAATTTCCCCGACTTCAGATCCCTCGGATTTCAGCTGATTATCAGATTTAAAATGTGTCGGGCATGCACCCCAAACGGTGCGAAACAAATAGGGTGGAAATTTCCGCATCAGCAAGGCAGGTCAGATTTCTCTGCAAAAGTATCACGGAAGCAGCGACGGCAAAGTGGGGCGCGGAAATCAGCATCAGAGAAATTCGACAGGCACGTAGGGCGGAAATTTCCGTCCTTCCTGCGAGATCGCCCAAAGGACGGCGGATCCGAAGTCAGGGCCAGCGTTTTCCTAGACCCCCGACGTGATGTTCTTGTTTTTGAAATTTCGACCCCCAGAGCCCTTGACCCGTTCCCAGGGACCGGATGATCATCCTGAGTCGTCTTTTGATGGTCCCGAGGCCCGGTAAGCGCTTCAGAGGCCAATCGAAAAACCTTCCGTCACATTTTTTGTTCAAGGCTCGAGGAACACGAGCAGGAGTCTGACGGAGATCGGCGCTGGGGCCCCTTGGCAGCGCCTCTGGTGCCGCCCCTGGCGCGTTCCGCGCGCCAGGGAGGGGTCCATCGCCGATCCGAGGAATCCTCACGGACATCCGAGTTTTTTATGCTGATGTCTTTGCTTGTTCCCCGCTTCGGACCCTGGAAGATTCCTTAGCTGATGAGGCTGGCAGTGGTACCCATGGCTAAAACTCGACTGGTGTTCCACGGGCTTCCAGACCCTGGATTCCTCATCTAAGGGTTCCCTATCCGATGCCCTGCATCATCGGGCACCGTGCCGACGGCACGAAGCGGCCCGATCCGATACGGTTCCGACTCCGCGCTGGTGCGGCCCGATCCGATGCACACTTCGATTCGAGCCGATTTCCCGATCCGATATTGCCTGATTCCAGGGGAAGGAGACG